CATCTGCATTTAATGGTTTAAACATGTATTATATTTATATATACATTTGATATGCATGATTACCATAATAGAACTGTAGGAACTCTTATTTTTGAAGTCGTGACTAAGCAATTAATGACAATCCATCTCCCTTTAATCGTTTAAACATGTATTATATATGTATATAAAATATCAAGTGTTCACTTAACCTTATATTGTATATATTTACCTACCTTATGTCAGCTTTCATTCTTAAAGGATCAATATACTCAATAGTTCTGAATGTCAAACATATTGATTATATTTAACCTAGTACAAATGTCAATGATGTACCTGAAGACAATTTGAAGGGATTATAAAATTACAGATCTTTAGTCAACAGTAGTTAAATGTAAGATAACATTTTTGTGGTTAAATATTATCACATTTGTTTTATTTTTTAATCTTTATCCAATTTTTAATTTTTTGGAGCCACAGTGGCACAGTGAGTATTGCGCAAGCTCACTAATGATAATTGTCCCCCGCCTTTCGATTGGTTGATGCTTTGGGACACGATAACTTTAGTTCTTATTAAGTGAGTGTGATGAAACTTGGTGTATAGTTTCATTACATCAATACCTTGACTAAGTTTGATAATGAGCATTTTCTGCTCGGGGTAAGCAGAGCGATAAGCAATTTGATTGGCCAAAACTTTGGAACACAATAACTCTCCTTCTAATTGAGCTAAAATGTTCAAACTTGGTGTAGGTGTTTATTAGGTCAATCCCTTGATGGAGTGTGAAAGTAGAGAAAAGCAATTTGATTGGTTGATGCTTTGGGACACGATAACTTTTGTTCCAATTAAATGAGAGCGATGAAACTTGGTGTATAGTTTCATTACATCAATACCTTGACTAAGTTCGATATTGAGCATTTTCTGCTCAGGGTAAGCAGACGGATAAGCAATTTGATTGGCAGAGACTTTGGAACACAATAACTCTTCTTCTAATTGAGCTAGAATGTTCAAACTTGGTGTAGGTGTTTTTGAGGTCAATGCCTTGATGGAGTGCGAAGATTAGCATTTTCTGCTTATGGTAAGTAGAGATAAGCAATTTGATTGGTTGATGCTTTGGGACACAATAACTTTAGTTCTAATTAAGTGAGAGTGATGAAACTTGGTGTATCGTTTCATTACATCAATACCTTGACTAAGTTTGATGATGAGAATTGTCTGCTAAGGCTAAGGAGCAATAAACATTTTGATTGGTCAAGACTTTGGAACATAACAACTCTGCTTCTAATTGAGGTAGAATGTTTAAACTTGATGTAGATGTTTGTCTTGACCGAGTTCAATGATTAACATATCGAGCTAAAGCTAAGCAGAGATAAGCAGTTTCCTAGGTCGATGCTTTGGGACAAGATAACTTTGATTCTATCTGATAGAGAGTGATGCAACTTAGTGTATAGTTGATAATCAGTTTGATTGCTCGATACTTTTGAAAAAAATAAATGTGCAATTAATTAATATGTGTCATCTATTTATTTGGGGATTTCGGTGGGGGACATCAGCCTCACTGTTGGCTTGTTTAATATGAAATTTAGTGATAACAAGTATGAAAGTTAAACATTTAGTGATAACAAGTAAAGCAAACTGAAAAAAGATATTTTTGTAGCCTATTTTCAACATTTATGTTTATATTGTACTACGTAAATTAAACATACATCATACATTAGACATTAATTAACATATCCAGACCATAATCAACTCTAGATGGCATCGCTAGCCTGCATAACTCTCATTCTCGATTTAACGATTAAATGGATAATTGAGACTATGCTGTTTACCTTACTGACTTTAGTAATGAAGACCGAGGCTAGGCAGAAATTTCATTCGCTTAGTTCTCGGTTCATAGTGGATCAATTTGAATGGAATTTTTAGCAAATTGCCTTTACGTTATCTAGTTTTTAACTATTATAGTGAGAACTGCCAACTCGTTATTTCATTTCCCATAATGCATCTTTAAGATATTTAACTCATGTTCTTAAGAGTAATTTAGATCTGTTGTATTTTTTTTAATGATTTAAAATATTGAATAGGCAATGTGTTTGTTTAATGAGAGCAGTATGTCTAGTTTTTTTATAATGTCTTGTCACAAAGTTCTGTGATGTGGGGGGAGCCGCTGTAGTTCATTGAGTAAAACATTGGCTCTCTAACCAGGAGATCTTTGGTTTCGCTCCTGAGAAAGTTTATCAGAATTTTCTGGGATGCTTCCTCTTTGAGTCAGTGATGTAGGACAGAGGGCATGACAAGGGACAACAATCATTGAGTCAAGAGGGGTGGTTTTGATTCCCTGCTTGTACATGACAAGGAGTAGGGTCGCCTTTCCAACCTTGTGTGTTTTCTCCTTGTCCTCCCATTGCTCAAGACCCATAGCAAGCAAATTATGGAGGGAAAGATAGTTTAAATATATTTCAAAACAACAATTTATTTCTGAGACTGGGGGTTGTATGAAATAAAATTTAACCATATGTTAGTCTCAAAATGACCTAGTTTGTGTCAGGTGGATGTGAGACTCTCTCTCTTTCTCTCTCTCATTCTGAGATTAAAATATAGTTTGTATGCTCTTAAGTATGGGGTAGGGACGCCTGTCCAACCTAGTGGGTTTTCTCTGGGACCTCTCCCACTGATAAAGACCCCTACGAGCAAGCAAATTATTGAAATAAAATTAAACCATGTGTTAGTCCCAACATTAAACCCCATTTCTCTCTCTAGTCTCTCTCTCTCTTTAGAATGGGGAAGATACCAGAGAATCCAGGGTTAGGCAGATGACCCTGTTCTTTGTTGATGTCACAAGGACAGGTACTGTTATCAAATTGGGGGATGGAGGAATGGGAACCAGGGGATCAGGACCTCCCTCTTCAAATAATTGAAGTGTTTGTTTTATCTACCAGTGATAAAAGTATTGAAATGAAGAAAAAATGTTCACTAACTAAATCTTTTGGATATACTCTAAACAATTTGGTGACTCACTCTGATGTGTAACAACCATATTTGCCTTTTTTATACTTGATTTATATTGAACTTGAAATGTCACATATTATTTCTGATGATGTGCCAGTAGTAGCCAGTTTCCCTTTTTCAATCCCAAAAACTGAATTTGAGAAGCTAAGTCTGTGGAATTCAGTCCCCTTCTCACAAGTGCCATATACTTACTTGAATACAGTGCTGAATCTCTGTGAATGGCTACCAATAGCATGGATGGTGTATGTTCCTTGAGCCAAACTGGCATCTTTTTTTCTGCAATAGAAACAGCAGGGCCTAACAGGCAGCCAGTTGCTGTGATAGAAACAGGCAGCCATGGATAGAAACACTAGCAGACTGCTTTTTCTGTGATAGAAACTGATGGGCTTATAACTAGCATCTTCTTGCTGCGATAGAAAAAAGATACCGGATAATTGGGCTTTACCAGAACTCCCAGAAACCTGGGTAATAATTGTGTGAAATTACCACATTATTATTATTCTGCAGTCTATGATAATGTCTAGGTCATATGTTATTTTGTTATTTTCAATTCTGTTTTTAATTCCTGTCTTCATTAGCCCAGTTCGGAGTAAACCCCATTTCATTTCATTTTCTGTTTTTAATTTCAAATCTATAGAGTGTTATTTATTTATGCTTGGTTAATCATTAGAGACAGACAGCAATTAACCTGTCAGTCAATTTAGATTATGACAGACTGGTAAATAAAGTGGTTTATCTGTTAAAGATACATTATGGGAGATTAGATAAAGTGCTGACAGTTCTCGCTATAATAGTTAAAAACTAGATAATGTAAAGGTGATTTGTTGAAAATTTCAGTCAAATTGGTCCACTATGAACCGAGATATCAGCTTTGTAAATTTCCGCCTAGCCTCGTTCATCATTACTAAAGTTAGTACGTTAAAAAGCATAGTCTCGATTATCCATTGTTTTGATTTAATTATCAATGAGCGTTTTCAGCATATAGGATTCTAATCCAGTCGATATCGAAGGCTAGCCTTGACATCGAGAGTTGATTATGGTCTGGATAAGTTAATTAATGTCTAATTAATAATTTAGATAAGATTTCAGGCTTAAAGAAAGACCTGCGATAGGTAGATTTAGCCCTTGCATAATGCATTTTTAAGTTTCTTTAACTATTTTTTTTATTGCCTTAAGACTCATAATCCTTCAATGATTATATGTTTATGTTAACACTTTCATAGTAACTAAATTGCATCTATATAAAAAGACAGATGTATTATAGATAAAAACATTAGTTGGAGAGACCATTTGGGAACCTATATATATACTGGTTGGAGGTCTGATTTATAGGAATTATAAGTTTTTTAATTGTTGCTGTTATTTTTTTCTGAAATAAGTTGGATAGACCAGCTTTTGGAACCTATATACTGGGTTGGAGGTCTGATTTATTGGAAATTATAAGTTGTTAAATCGTTGCTGTTATTTTTTTCTGAAATCAAGTGTTGAAGATCCTTTCCAAGAATCTGTATTCAATCATGATAGTTAGAGAATATATGTCGACGAGCTACATACCCTGGAAGTTGAACGGTTTTATTACTTTCATAACCCTGTAATACTAAAAATGAATAAAATGGATATAAAAATATGTAATACTAGAATTTATATAAAAGACTGTGATACTAGTCTGTACATAAAAGTATGTAATTAGACAGTGTAATGTTAATTAATACTTAACGATCATTCACCTGTTGCTTTGTTTACCTAATGACGTCATCATAGTGAGTTAATGTCAAAGATTTTGGCAAATTTACAAAATATTTACGTCTTATATATGCTCTGTAGTATATATGTGATTTATTCCAATGAATTTTTTGTTTGAAGCATCTGCATATAAACAATAAGTTCTAGTATGTATATTTGGTACAGATAATAATTGTATTTAGGTCTTAGATTATTATTGATACATGGAGCTATAACAATTATATGTCAAACCAATTTGCATAAAATGTTTCAAATATATTTATTTATATCTTTACAGGTGCCAGTAATCTGTGTTCTGTGAGTGTCCCTGTACCTCAATATACCACACGGCCACGACGGCCCCCTAAAATAGGGGACATCAGGTAAGAAATAAATTTATTTATTGTCTTTATTAAAACTGGCTCCAAGAATACAAGAGAAATGAAATAAAATGGGGTTTAAGGTCCTACTCTTTTGCTCCGAACTGGGCTAAAGAAGACTGGCATACACCATAAAGTGTGCTATGAGGGAAATTTTGCCCGGACAGCGGCACTACGGCCTATTTATATCGAATTCCAACTGTCAAGTGATCTTTTACATGTGTACACAGGACCTTGTTTTTTGTACCATCCGAATGACCTAGATAGCTGCCCTTGTCAGGCCCTCCTGCCCTTGTCAGGCCCTCCGTCCTGTATCACTGAAATGGGAACCATGCCGGAAAATCTGAATGAATTTTCTCAGCCAATGCAGGGATCGAGCACCCGACCTCCAGGCAAACACCCGACCTCCAGGCTAGCGAGCCAGCGTCTTACGTGCACACCCCCCCCTCCCGAATACAAGAGAAATGTCATATGGTGTATATACTCAAGACTGAGGTTATTCTGATAAAAGATGGAATATGAATAGAGAAATGTGAGGTAGAAGAATTCACATCATGTTATTCGTGGTGCTTGCCTCCTGGGTTGATCTTATCTCCGTCATACTGAGAATGAGAAATGTAACAAAATATCCTACATTTCTGCACCTATCCGGCTAATGAAGATGGGCATACACCATACAGTCTGCTATGATGTAAATTTCTGCCTACTCTTTTGTTGAATTCCAACTGCCAAGGGTTCTTTGAAGTGCATGCCAACGTGTGCGAGAGACTTCAGCTTTTGTACCATCCCGACGACTAGACACTAGAAATGCATGTGAGAATTCTAACAAAAGTTTTTCGGTCAACACCTGGATGAAATTTCTGACCGTCTGGTTAGTGAGCCAGCACCCTACTCCCTGAACAATCTTGGCTCCTTAATTGGAGATGATATGAACTGTTTATAGAACAGCAAGTCTGGAAATAAGGCACCTGCCACAGACAATGTCAGGTACAGATTGTGGCTTTGTCAGGCACAAAACCTCTGATGCCTGTCATTTTGTCCGGCATTGACTTGTCTTTTTATTGATATTATTTATACATGTCTGGCACTAAGATGAAAATGTTGGGTACTATTTCATTAGTGTCGGACATTTTGTCAGGTGCATTTAAAACAGTTATTTCCAGGCCTGTAGCATATTCAAGTTGGCTATTTGAAATTAAGAATGTCCTGACTACATCAAGTTTAAAATAACCTTTGTATAAAAAAAGAACAGAAACAGTTTAACTCCCCAAATTCCACTTGAGAAGTATTTGTTTAAAAGATATAGACGGAATTAAAACTGGTGTTATGTAATAGATGGAATTTAAATTTTATACCAATTTGTACCTACCGGTAATGCATGTATAGAGTGCCAATCTCAAACAACAATTTGCCAAAATTACATTTTCCAGAACATAATTAAATATATACATTTAGAAAACAATAACTACACACACTTTATTAAAAATTCAACGATGTCTTTTCCTGCAGGGTGATATATAATTTTTGTCTAGGTTGTACACAAATTAAATAAATATAATAAAAATACAGCGCAATACACAGACATTATATAAATAAAACCACAATAGAAGAGAGAGAGGGGTCACATCCACCTGACAAAGACTAGGTCATTTTGAGACTAACATATTGTTCAATTTTATTTCATCCAACCCCCAGTCTCAGAAATAAATTGTTGTTTTGAAATATATTTAAACTACTTTTCCCTCCATAATTCGCTTGCTATGGGTCTTTAGCAATGGGAGGACCAGGAGAAAACACACATGACAATGAGTAGGGGTGCCTGTCCAACCTTGTGGGTTTTCTCCAAGTCCTCCGGTTTTCTCCCACTGCTAAAGACCCCTACATGCAGGCAAATTACTGAAATAAAATTGAACCATATGTTAGTCCCAAAATGGCCTAGTTTGTGTCAAGTGGACGTTAAACCCAATTTCTCACTTTCTCTCTTCACAATATTGTAATTTGTGAGAGATTTTTAATCTCTCAAATGACAGTAAGAAATTTTAATATTAGTTATATTGTTCTCTACTACATTGATGTGGACATTGTTTCTCACAAAAAGATACTTATCTAATTGTATAAACTGATTTTGTTTGTCACAGAATTAAATATATCCACACAAAATGGTTAATGCAAAAAAAAAACGCTAGAAAGAATGAGTAAAATGGATGAGATTTTTTTTGGCATAAATAGAATATTTATTTACTGATGTCATCAGATTTACGACAACCTACAGAGATGTACCCGTTTTAAATTTCTCACAACCTTCTGTTTCTGTCTCCAAATCTAATTCCTCGAAAGAAAATAATTTCATGAAATTAGATCTTTCACCTTTTACGTGATTGATTATGTGTTTTTCTTGAAATATGTAATAGTTGTTTTTGAGGTAGAAATGTTTTCTTAAAACTCAACTCTTCTTGAAAATATAAAGATAACAAGTATTTCAAGAAGGTCAAGCTTCCCATATACACAAAATTTCACTACTGAACACCCACAAAAACGACAGTCTCAAATAGAATATATATATTTTTTTTTTATTCGCCCACATGGAAATGTTAAAGTATATATTGGCGTTGCCTACGTCTGTTCGTCCACCGGTCCCGTCTGTCGTCCACAATTGCTTGTTGACACTCTAGAGGACAATGTTAATATTCGATTGACTTTAAATTTATACACAGTATTTACGGTCTTGAGATGAGGAAGCCTATTGATTTTCCGATAATTACTGCCAGAGTTATGACCCTTAATCACTTTGAAAAATCTTCTGGGTATTTAAGAGACTATTATACACAGTGTTTAAAGTTATGGAACGAAAAAACCTATAGAGTTTCAGAAATTTCCAATAATTAGTGCCTTGATGATTTTGAGAAATCTTTTGGACGTTCTAGGGGATAAAATTAATATCCTATTTATACACAGTATTTAACCTTGTCAGTGATGCAGGACGGAGGGGCTGACAAGGAAAGCTGTCTAGTCGTTCGGATGGGACGAAAAACCGAGGTCCCGTGTACACATTGGCGTGCACGTAAAAGATCCCTTGGCAGTTGGAATTCGATATAAGAGTAGGCCGTAGCACCGCTGCCTGGGCAAAATTCCCCTCATAGCACACTGTATGGCGTATGCCGTCTTCATTAGCCCAGGTTAGGAGCAGAACAGTAGGACGTTAAACCACATTTCATTTCAATACACAGTATTTAAAGTCAAAAGACGAACAATCCAAACAAATTCTAATGATTTCTGATAATAACTGAATGTTTTGTTACGTGTAAATGTTTTCATTACTGACAAAAGAAAAGAATGTGGCAACCCTTGTTGACTGCCGGACAACTTGGCTGCTGTGGGCAAACGTTTTGTTGCCTGGAAACATATCTTTGAAATATATGTGAACTGTTCGGCTTATTGGGTCTTTTTGTACTGTATTTCTATTTGATTTTCTGACGACATCAGAATCCAGCGCACATCTGTTGACTGGACTAGAAAATTAATCTCTATGATCACTGGAGTATACTTATATGTCTTTATGGATCCATACAAATCCTTGGTAATGCACATCAATAATTTGTCTCACCCTTGCTGATTGGTTATTTGTATGTGTAGTTAAACCAATCGTAATTTTGTCCGTCTTGGTATTGGATATAATGATGTCTCTAATTATATACACATGAGTAAATCCTATTGGCTAAAACTGGTGCTAATAATGTTAATTTCATGGACCAGTTTACTCAGTTATTGCCTAATGAAGTGCGAATAAAGTCCGCAGTTTCACAATATTACTGGAGGGCTAATAGTAATACCCGCCAGCTATTATCATGTAGGAAACAGATGTCTTCATAAAGAATGGTAATTACATTATCACAAGTGTCTCATCCGTGTTCTAACTTGACATATATTTATCTTCAGATATCAATATTGGTCTAATTGTAATAGCTTTAACGGTGTACAGAAACCTTGTAAATAAAGAAATAATATCAAAAGAAATAATATCTGTCAGTTTTCATTAGGATATTATACAACCAAATGATTTACCGTTAAACAACACAGACATTGCATATCTTCTTTTTGTTTTAATTTTTTTTTAAATTTACAATAGATAACTATTGTCTAGTGTTGTGAATGATAGTGGGCATGAAAAATGTAACCTAGTGGGTTACTTCCATAACAACAGGAACAACTGTATAATCTGGATATTAATTTATTCAACCAGCAACAACATTAAAATCAATTAATCAATTAAAATCAGTTAACAAGACAATAAAATGATATATATCCATATGAAAGTTAAATGTAATTTATATGACTTGGTTCTTAAGACACTAATTTTTAAAAGTTTATGTTTAGTTAGTTACCCAATAAAAGATTATTAAAATGTTGCCACAGTTTAATTAAAATGGTAAATAATGTAAGATTTATAAGACAACTGAATTGAGTGTACAAGAAGCTTAGTTAAATAGTAAATCATTAAAACAACCAGACAATGAACACATTTAGTTATATTAAAACAAATGTAGAAGATTAGTGTTTCATGAATGTACCCATTACTTTTATGATCTACATTTGATTTAGAATATAGATGACGATATTCACTATGTAATAAAATGATTAAAATTTATGAATGAAAATCATGAAAATATATTCTATAAGAATTGCTTTGAAATTCTTGGTTATACTTTTGCAATGCTTGGTATATACTTTTGAAATGCTTGGTTACTAAAATATCAGCCTTTTCATAAGAGGGAGAGAGAAATATAATTTTTAGACTAACATCGTACAATTCTACTTCAATGATTCACTTAGCACAAGTCATTTTGGGACTAACATATGGTTCAATTTTATTTCAATAATTCGCTTTCGGGTAGGAATCTTTAGCAGTAGGAGGAAACCGGAGGACCTGGAGAAAACCCACAAGGCTGAACAGGCACCCCTACTCTTTTCAGGTACAACAGGAGAATCGAAATCATGCCAGTTGA